CAATGGTGCCGACAAATTGCATTAATCACGCTATCATGTGAGTTTGTATGTGTACATGTGTGTATGTGTGTAAATGAAAGATTTTTGCGAAACTTTATTTAAATATTATATCTTATGCATCGTGGAATATCTGCGGTTATTGCGGTTGTTCTAAAGTGCATTAAGTGGCACAACTAGTGTAAAATTTTGCAATCTCGATTTTCGATCTCAAATTGTTTTTCAGTTACACCCTTTTAAAGTAAGCGGATAATTTCAATCAGATCCATCAGTTTATTTTGAAGCGCGTTTTTTCCAAAAGTACACTTTTCAAATTCACTTGAGTGATTACTCGTAGAGAAATGATCCGCTTACAATTAAATTTTTCTGCATGTTATGTATATAGTTCTCCAGTTTATTGATCTGATCAAGTATCGAATTTTTGCTGGCCAAAGCGACCAAAATTTTGGATAAAATTCAGCTTTTTTTTTGACTGTTGGTCATTGAACGGACAATATCTTGTAATGAGATTTTTATTTTAGGTTTCATCCACGGATAAGGCCGGAATCACTGCAGCAGTCGAGAGCATATTTTTTTTGTTACTTGAAAAATATGTCTGTTTTTTTTTTTTTAATATTTACTGTGTTCTTAAAATATGTGTGTTCATGAAATATTTTAAAAATCATTTTTGGAAATCAAAAACTGAGAAAAATAAAATAGATTCCTCAAATCGAATTTCGAAGTTGGTATTCACCCTAGCTTTGGTAATTCCTTAGTCATTATTCGATAGTTTTTTACGTGCATTTTGCTTTTGTAAAATTAACAGATTATCGTTCTGCCGAGTAACGAAATACCTGGCTGGCCAGCGTGATTTCTCGTTACTTGGTAGATGTATGTACGTGACATCAAATCAGCTGTTTGTTTTGCGTCGTTGCCTAAAAAATGCATTTGATTCATTGCAAAAAAATACAGTAGCTGCTTGCTACAAGATAAATTTAGAAAATTTTTTGCAAAAGTATTTCTACAACAAAATATTTACGTTTGCTTTCACTATAAACTTATTTTCCGTAGAGCCACAAAAGAATATTCAAAAAAAGAAAAGCCATAAAAAAAATTAAATGAGGAAGAAACCAATTTACTGCTAAAATATTTGCTAAAACAACTAAACTTCTTTAATGCCTTAATTAAGAAAAAATACTAGTTTGTCAAACCGAATTTCGAAGTTCGAAGATACGATACTGTTAATGACGATAACACTGAAAAATTTAAAGAAACGCCGTGTTGGCATCAAAGAGATAGCAGAGGATCTCATCAAAAACTCTTATGGATCGACTCAACATATTTTGGTTAATGTTTTGGGTATGAAACGTATTAATGCCAGACTTGTGCTAAAAGACCTGAATCTTTTGCAAAAACGACGTCGAATAAAGGTCGCATAAGAGATGGTTAACAACGTAGCTAACGACGCTATATTCATCATACTAGAGACGAGAAGTGGTTTGTGAATATAACATCGAAACTGTCGTAACAATCTAGCGAATTGCGCTACAAAGTTGTGCCGAAACCGAAAAAAAACTAAAATTCGCTAAAGACACTGAAGGCTAGCTTGTTAAAGTGAGGCTTATAACAAGTGTATGGAAAATTGGATTAGATTAGATTAGAGATTGGATATTAGCTCAGGCGTCTATTATGAAGGCGATAATAAATATTTGTATTAAAATACGTGAAAATGTTTTTTTTTTGTTTTAATGTTAGAACTTTGGAAAAACTCTAAGTTAAAATATTTACCAATAATGATTGCTAATGTTTTTCCAAACATGTTTCGGTACTGTGCCCACTTGTGTGTGTTGAGCATAACATTAAAGATAGAGAGAAGCTTGTTTTAACATTATATTACAACTTTCTGTTATAAATATGCTTATATTTATATTTATAGTCGCACGAAAATAACTCAAAAGTCTCATTTATTTCTCTAATTATTCAAATAAATATTATTTAAACATGTAAGTACTTATTTGGCTTACGAGATCTGCCTGTACAAACACATAAGTATGTATATCTCACTGAGCAAAAAATAAGGAGGACTGCTGACTTCATTTTTTTAATTGATATATTTACTTGAATTTTTAAAGACATTGATGTTGCTCTTGCTATTTCAGAAAATAACTAATTAATATTTTTTTATATGTGTAGTGGATATATGTACGTAAGTATTTATATTTAAATTATTTTGATATAATTCGCAAATAATATGGAATTCGTAATGTAAATGATATGTTTATTCACTGGGTTCGGTGGAATTCATGTGCGAATTTATGTGTATATACAAGACGGTGTGTCCCTGACGTCAATTTATAATTGCTATTTGCCATTGGTTGTTGTTTTATAAATATGTAAATATTTTATCATAAAAATCGCGTGCGACGTACAGAGCGATATTTTACAAACATATAAATGTTATTATTATATATATATATATATATATATATATATATACATATGTACATATACATATTTGCACATTCATTACAAAATTCTGATTTTTTTGCAGATTTCCCATAACTGTGAATACTTACGATATATATATGTATATGTATACAGATCTTAAAATATGTTATAATTGTAAGGAAATTGTAAAATTTGCAGTCGTAAAATAATATTATTATGGGAGGAAGCAAAATGTTGCATTTATAATTTGCAATTTTAAGCCATTTTTCCCGTTCGATTATAATAAACTTTAAAATAATTTCACGGCATTTAATAAATATGTATATAAAGATGATATCTTGTCAATTAAAAAGTTTTTCTTACAAGCACTTGATTTTGATCTGCCAGTTTGTATGGCAGCTATACTCTATAGTCGTCCAATATCGTCGTTTACGACAAATTAACAGGTTATTGAAGAGAAACGGAAGTGTGCAAAATATCAGAACGATACCTTCAAAACGGGGGCCTAGTTCGTATATATATGTATATATGTATAGACAGACAGACGGACATGGCTAAATCGGCGCTGATTTATTTATATATGTATATATTATATAGGGAATACCACCTTTAAAGAGGCAGACTATGACTGTCACAGTAGAATTAGCAATCATTTTGTAAAAAACGATTGCAATTGCTAATAAGTAATTTTCTTGCTTTCCTTTCATTTTGGCATAATAATCATATTAAAGGTAAATTCTTTTTATTTTTAAGCCTTTTATTGGGTTTGGGTTTTAAATCAGGAATTTTGATCCGAAAATAAATGCAATGCACACACATTCATAGAGAAGGACTGAGGCAAGCAATTTGTCACACAAAACAATTAACGTAGTTGTAATGAAGGCAATTACGGATAATTAAATTACATCTACAAATTAGATGCGATTCGCATCCATTTCAATTTAGCCATACTGCTTTTCAAAAACAGTACGTTATCTACATCTGCATACGTACATACATATGTATGTATGTTTGTTTGTACATATGTGCATATGGGAATAAACATACGTATATATATATAACTAATTGTCATGAGACTTTTCTTCAACTATTTGCATGACAAGCTAAAAATATCCACAAAGACTTTTGGTAAATCTTTATACGAGTAATTGCGTTCAAACAAAGTTCAGATGTTTCAGATATAAAATGAATAGAAAACAACCGTAATGATGAATTCGTTGAAAAGAGATATGAATATGTATATACAAATACAGTTTTTTTTATATAAAAAAAAAACATGATTTCTATTATAAGCTTAAATAACGTTTAATTACATACATATATTATATTTTCTCATATTTGTTTCCAAAACACAATATACTCAACAATCCTTGAAATATTATATATTTGGGTCACTCCAGTATTTTTTTCCGGTTTTCACCGGTTACTTTCTTCTTATCGCTTATTCTACATATCTCTACCTTAGATGAGTACACTTTAGCAAACAAACCTGTTACACGGGGTTTCGCCGGAATGGAAGAACTGGAGCTACTTTCTGCTGCATTGCTTCCGCTAGTTCGGGCACACTTCAAAAGCATTTTTAATGTGTTTATTTTACAATATTTACAGTTTTATTGTTTATATGCAGCGTAAATTTTATTGCAAATGCTTTAATTATTATCAATCAACAAAGATGACCCACACTCAGTTGTTCTGCAGGAGGACACTCAAGAAGCCGCAAGAGTTGCAAATTTCTCTTATGCCACTACAAATTATACACTACTTTAATAATTGAATTATTTGATTTGCAATTAATTTTCTTTAACCACTTATCATTGCGTTATTTGTTTATATTCAACAAAACTATGATATATTTTCACTACAAGCACTTTATTCTTGCTTCCACATTCGTCACTATTTTTAGCAATTTTCTGTACTACACGTTTTATTTTACATGTTCATTTTCTTCCCTGTGCTCAATGGGCAATAATTTTTTCATCCATTTACACACACACACGTTTGCAGGACAAGCTTGACGAGTTCGCCACTATACTGTCCCATGTTTTGCATTCCAAGTGCCACGGGGTTTAGATTTAACTTGTTTTCAACAGCACAAGAAACTTTCAAACTTTATTGAATTTCTTTTCAACGATAAAATGTTTAATGATAAACATTAATATTTCTAATTTGTTGCAGAATTTTTAATGAAAATTTACTAGTTGCGATACAAAACAGAATTTACGCTTTACTTTAACTTCCTATACATGAGTTTCGCTATTTTGTTTTCGATTGACATTCTACAATTTGACAGGGTTGCATAGGAAAAGTACTAACTTTATTAACTAACTTTTAGTATTAAATAACACATGTTCTTGAAATTACACAAGCATGATAAATTCGCAATAATAGTCAAAAGTGGATTTTATTTGAAAAACAATTGAATATATTATAAATTTGTTGAAACCTATATAAAGATCATGTTGTAAAATATTTCTGAAACTTTCTTTCAAATTCATTTTAATATAAAGTTTATCAACACTGAAAACATTGTTTACCTTGGCACATATGATGGCAGGAGAAAGCAAAACATTTGTACCGTATGTCAAACAAGAAACGGAAAGAACTGCTGCTGTAGGCAAAATCTGTTTACCTTCCGATTGGATAGTGTTACACATATCTGTTTATTATTACTCAGTATGTGGCGTTGTGATTAGATAAGAAATTAGTGATAATTAGTCAAGAATACAATGCATAATCTTTAAATAGTGATAATTAGTATTATTTTCTTGAGATAATCGCAGGTGAATCTTGATATTCTCGCCAAACAATCTTAAACGTATTATATACATATATATGTGAATGCGTAAAGGCAAACCTATATATAACAATTAAGGCATTTGCTTTCGATAGTACTCACGATTAATTTGCTCAAGTGACAGTTTTAGTAGCAAAAATTAACTAAAATTTAATAGCGCTTTACACTAATACTAAAGAGAAAATATGTGTGTGATATTTTTTTATGTAAACTCAAATCCAACCTCCGGCGGTTATAAGCTGATTCTAGCATCAAATCGGGATGAATTTTTCGCCAGAGATACACAAGATGCAGCAAAGTGGGCTAACGCTGAGCATGTTTATGGAGGTGAGTACTGACATATCTACTAAAAATATGCAAAAATCCATGCAGTATGATTTCTTTGTTTTGAATTTTTGAATTACATATCAGGCATTGACCTCGAACCTGGACGTGAAGGTGGCACATGGCTGGCTATAGGTGGCCATGGTGGTGTATTTAAAATAGGTGCATTGCTCAATTTGACAGGCGAGCCAAAACCAAGGAATGCTGTGGGTAAGCATTAACAACCCACCTAACTAGTTATAAAACTGTTGTCATATGCTAACCTTTGTTACTTTACTTACTACGGATTATTGACCTTTAACTGCATACAAACGTACATTCACACATTAACGTTAACTTATCACGAATTGAACTTGCATGATGCCTTTGTGTGTGGTTTGTATACAAAAAAATTTTATTAAACATTTATTTTGGTCAATGCATAAATCAACTAAATTAACGCTAATCTCTAATACGCTGATAAACAATAATTCATAAAACAACTTGATACATATATACGCACTTAGCTACACATCATAACATAATGCACTTCAATTATGACAACAATAAGGCTGATATAAAAGGAAACATCACACCTACAGACAACACACCAATACCACTACTGAACAATGAAAATTTTTTGTTAGGCCGTGGTATGATCGTGTCTAATTTTGTCTCTTCCGGTGATGAGTGCAATATAAAAACTTACAACGCTGAACTATTGGCCGATTGCACCAAGTACAGCGCTTTTAATTTTGTGTCAATCGAAATTGGGTTAGTAGCATTTATGTCATATTTTAATTTTGTTAATATTACATTTTTATTTTAATTTTATTCGAGACATTATATTTTTGCTATTTCAGCGATTCAAAAAGACCCGCTGCAATAACGCTGTTAAGCAATTCGCCGCCCACTTTGGAGCATTTTGCTGATGGTAAATGTTATGGCTTTGGCAACAGTTTGGATGCCGTGCCTTTTCAGAAAGTCATAAACGGACGTCAACGTTTCCAAAATATTGTTGAGAATTTTAACAAAAAATTGTCAAACTCGCCGATGGAGAGCGCGCAAAATCTACAAAATGAATTGGTCACAAATTTAAAGAATTTATTAAAGTGTAAACAAAAGTTTTGGCCAGATGCGGAGTTGCAACGACGCGCACCCAATTGGGGCGAACACTTGAGTGCGTTGAATGTGAATGTGCCGTTAGCGAACTATGGCAGTCGCACGCACACCGTTATACTGGTTGATGAGCATAACAAAATGCATTTCTATGAGGAAACCATGGCTGGACTAGATCCCGAAGGTGAATGGCGACAAACACATATCGAAAAAAATTACTTTCAAAACCACAACTAAGTTGGCAATGCGAAAACGTTTTAATGCTTTGATGTGTTGCGCTGCTTATTGGTTGTGTGTAAAACTCAATGAATCTTATTATACATTTTTGTACTCAGGTGAAATGACTAAACGCTTTCATGCATAAGGATCTAACAAATAGGTGATAATACAATTGTGTACGTCTGCTTTCAGCGTAGTTGTTTAAATATTGATTTAAAATTTTATTCTCTGCAATTGTTCTGATTTATAACTCTTACTAGTTAACAAGATAATTTTATTTTATATACATATAAAATATATACATACAGTTAGTTTGCGTTTATTGCATAAGTTTTTATTATTTTATTGTTTGTAAGCCTTGGCGACTCTTTGTTTGACACCTTTCAGCGCACCCTTGCGTGCACCGTTCACTATGTTCTTAAATGTGCCTGCATGTTTTGCGCGTTTACTGTAAGAAAAAACCAAATAGCAAATAAATAAAAGTATGTAAAACAATGAGATTAATGAAAACTACAAAATTAGCGTACCGTTTGTTTAGTGTGTTTCTACTGAGCGGTATGTATGCGAATGGATCGAGTTTGCCTTTCTTCTTCATATCGCCTTTCGCTTTTTTAGTTGTGTAGTCGCTGCCAGCGTAAGCGGAAGCAGCTGCAGATTTTCCAGATTTAGCCGTTTTTGCCGAGTAACCGGATTTCATGGATATTGCATCGCTGGCGGCGCCCAAGGGACGATGTATACCCTTACCACCGGCCACATATTTGGAGGCTGATGTCTTAACCGAACGCATACTAGTCGCGTCTGTTGCTTTACGTTTACGGCTGGTGGCAGGCATTTCTTCTTCTACGAAATTAAATTAATTATATTAAAAAAAAAAAATAGGAAAAAACGTACACTTCAGAGGTACAGTCCTTATACATAAAAGGGTATACAAATATTTTTATCATAAATTTGATCGGTCAGTTTGTATGGTAGCTTTATGCTATAGTGATCCGTTCTGAATAATTTGTTGGGAGATTTTAGCTTTGCCTTGGAAAATAATCTGTGCCAAATTTCATGAAGATATCTTCTCAAATAAAAAATTTTCCAAGGAGCAAGGACCTAATTTTAATCGAAGTTTATATAACCTGTTCAGGGTATAACAAAACAATTTTATGAAATTCAAGTAAACCAACCATCGCTTGAGTCCATCTCCATGCCGCGCTTAGGCGCTTTCTTCACTTCCACGCCTTCGTCCTCGTCATCCTCATCATCATCACTGCCATCGCTGTTGCTGTCATCGCCGCCAACGCCACGCAACGCTTTATCGCTTATAATCAGTCTTCCATCTTCGGCGGTTTTGAAGCCACGATTTGGATCCTTATTCTTAGTTTTTGTGCTGCCCGCAGCGTTTGCGCTCTCATCGGGACGATTTGCTGTTGTGAGGAAAAAAGTGAAAGCGTTACATACAAACACATAACGGATATATGCAAATATTGCACACGCACTCAGCACATTTCCGACCGACTTAATATCCGCCAAATCCACAATGTCCTCCGGATCTTCACGTATAAAAGTGCTGCCGCGCTTCTTGTTCTTCTTCTCAGCCTTAGCGCCCACATCGTCGTCTGCGTCCATGTCTTCGGGCAAATCTGAATCCGAGTCGGCCAATATGTCATCAATACTGCAAATGCATATACATACATATATATGTTTGGGTATCATAAGCGTAACAACAACAACAATAACATACGTCACACTCTTCTTTTCCAGCCCAGCAACGAATTCATCCTCCGACTCCTCATCATCATTCTTATCCTTTTGGTTTAGCTGTTGTCTGCTCTCACGCCGCATTTGCTTGCGTATTTTCTTCAGACGTCGATGTGTCACCTCATCATCGCCAGGCACGAACTTGATCAGCTCATCGGCTGTGAAGCGCTTGCAGAGTTTTTTCAACAAGTAACCGATTTGTATGCGACAATAACGTTTTGTGTCCTTAGCCATGGCGGAGAGCGCTTTCATCTAAATTTTTCTTAAAATTTAGTTACAGCGTCACTTAAAACATTAAATATACTTACAATCGTTTGCAAGTGGTTGGCAACCAGCGGTGAGGGCATTACTTTGATAAATGTTATCAGAAAGGCTACCGACGCCTCGGCCAATGAACGTGTCTTCTGCACGAGAAACACTAGTATCTGCTCCATTATGAATTCGAGTGTGTTAATTGTTAGATTTTTGCCCTGCTGTTGGACGACTGTGCGGAAAGCCAATATGGTGTTGGTAATTAGCGACTCATCGCCGGCAAAACCGGCCGTCAATATATCAACGAAATCATTCAATTTGCCAGACTCCTGTGGATTACAATTGTTTGAGGAATATTGAATATTTGGAAAATTGCTATTTATGAGTCAAATAGTAAATACCTGATATAAATTAACTAAAATGGTAATGAGTTCTTCGGAGACGTTTTCTTTGCGCGTGGAAAACTCCTTGTATGAGATCACAGCTTCCGGTATGGTTTTCATAACGATTTTATCATTCACAGTTAGAGATTTGCGATTTTCAATTAGAATTTTCAGGCATCTAAGTTTTAGAATGCGAAGTTCATATAAATTGGTTAAAATTTTCAATTACCACATTACAAAACTAACCTCAAACGCGCGGCCTGACACACAGCACAACTTGTGGCAAATGCATCCAGCAGCAGTTTCTGTAGTGCTATGCTGTTTTTGCGTCCGAATTTCTGACAAGAAGCTGCCTCAGAAGTGAGTATATCACGCAGGAGTCTGCAGTAAACAAAAAAAAAAAAAAATGAAAAAATATGAAAAAATTAAAACGCATATTTTAAAACATATTTAAAAAATTTTAAAATTTTACTCATATGTTCTGCGCTGTTGCTTTTTCAATTTTTGCTCGTCTTTGGCGACCAGCTTGGATTTTTCGTTCTTCAGCACGGGCACAATGAACTCCTCGAAGAACACACGTATGATTTCGCTGGTCTGGAAAAGCAGCAAGGCGGCGTTGATGTCGAAAATCGCATCGTACTCGAAAGTGCCCACGGCCGTGTTGGAAAGTTGCGTTTTCGCAGTTTCGAAAAGTTCCTTAAGCACATCTTCCGGCGTACGCGTGAGATATAGCTAACGAAACAGTTATGATGAAAGTGAAAAAATTATATTTATATATATATATATCCTCGCAGGTACGCACCTTTATGACATCCAATGTCTTTTTGCGCAGATCCGCCTCGTATGTGGTGTTTGGTTTCTGTGCGTAGATGTTGAAAAAACGCGGTAGAAAATTTTTGGAATATTTCGCCAAGGCCTCTTTGTTTTCAGCGCTGTCCTCGTTCGCTATCAACTCCGTTAAACCATCGAAGATGGGTGCACGAAACTCAGGATTATTATCCAGCGCATTGCCCAAAGTGGGCGCAATCAAGCGTAAATTCTCCGGATCTGCCGGTTCGCGACAAAAGCCGGGGAATAGACCCCACAGCTGACAACACAACAACTCGTACGTATGTGACAAGGATTTTTGTTGGTCTTGCGCGTGTTGATGCCATTTGTTGTTGCAATCCAAAGCCAGCGGCAAAACGAATTCTTTGAAGAATTTAAAAGTGGCGCCTTTGGCACCTTGACGCAACAGCGGCAGCAACCACGAACGTTCCAATAAAACTTCACCTTTGCTATTTGTTAACGGTATCGTTTTTAGCGCACTCTCCGGACCCATCGCTTGTATGGCGGCAATTATGGTATGTTCGATTTGTACGCGCAATGCGCTCTGCGTGTCGTAACGCTTCGAAAGTGTCAAAAGTGAGTGTGAGAGTTGCTTGCTGGAAGAGATGAAGCGTATTTAGTGAGTAAATTTAGAATTTTGCAGATACTTAATTTGAATATTACAGTAAATACCTGTAGTGCTTGCCACAAACTTCGAAAACGATGGAAAATACTAGAATTACATGTTTGGCCATTTCACCGAAAGGCGCGTTCAGCGCTTTCTCCAGCGACGCAATAATGCGTATAATCGGCGCGCGATATATTTCCGCCTGTTCAGGCGTACCACAAGCCGGCTTCACGCATTCGTATAGCAGTTCCTTTAAACAATTCGAGACACTGCTGATTATTTCGGCACGTTCCGACATCCATAAATCTGTGGCACATATGTCGACGAAGCGCGGCAACGCATTCATGCACAAATTCAAGTCCAAGAGCGCCAAATGTATGTGACCCTCCTTAAGCACCGTTATCCAAGCGACCGTTTGACGTATGTCGGCGCGATCCGGACGATATTCGTGTATGGCAGCCAAGAGTTTGGCGCATAAGGGGCCGTTCAAATTTGTGGTACGCGAAGCGAAGAGCGCATGCAACGCTTGGAGGCAGTTGGTGCGTATGAGCACATTTGCAGCGGTCATTATAGAAAGTAGGCTTTCACATACCGAACGTATGTCCTCGGTTTTAAGGCCACTCAAAATGTCTTTGAGCAGTGTTAGCGTATGCAACACTGTTGTTTGTGAGTTTGTCAGTACTTCGGGTTTGAATTGATTCAAACAAAATTTCGTTATGCGATTGCTGGCCGGATGGCTCTTCACTTTCGGTTGCTCCTCACTCACACCCTTCTCAGCATCTTCGCTTTGGCGGGGACGCATAAAAGAACTACCGTGTATGATGGATACAATAGCATGTTGAGCGGCTTTGCGTACCTATGCAAGTAATGGTAATCTAATTTAAATATTATTTTAAATATATATACATTTTAACATACCTTTGGCTTCGAGTGTATGGTGAAGGAGAGTATAGCATCAATATATTGCCATGTGGAGGAGTATGTCCAAGCGTTATAATCTTGCGCACAGAGCAACACCGACAAACAACCGATTATCTGTAAAGATTACAAAAAAAAAAGTTAATATATTTTATTTTTCACAATAAATTTTATGTTACGCACATATTTTATAATGGTCTGATTTGTGGACTCAATGAAACGTTGCAGAATCGTTAAAAAGGTTTGTGCTGCCTCGCCAAAACGTTTACGTAGCACCGTCACTGGCACTGACTTAATGCCCATAGACAACAAGGAAATACCAGCAATGATGTCATTGTCTTCTGTACTGGCTTCAATTTGCTCCATAAGTAAGATAAAATACTCTGTTGAAGATTCTGTGCCACCACGTTCGCGTATTACTTCAGTTAGTGCTGTTAGTATCGCTAACATTTCTTTATGCAAATCGGACGAGGCACGGAAGCCAACTAGCAGACGCTTAAAACTCATGTTGCTGCAGGCGCTATAGTTAGAAGCGAACGTTTTGAATGTTTTAAAAGTGCTTTGTTGTGATTCCGACATGCTCTCATCTTCTAGTCCATCGTCGTGTAGACTGAACGACTTCAGACTGCCGGCAACATCGTTGACTGTAGTAGTTTCCGCGTTGTAGGCCAAGCGTTGATCATGTTTCATTACAGCGTCCAGTGTGAGTGTAGTCGGGTCAGAGTTAGCTTCTGGTGGAGCTATGCGATAAAAAATAAATAAAGTTAAATAAATTTTCAGCAATAAAAACACATTTGTTTACCAACCTAAACTCAAATTCGGTTGAAAGAAGCGCGACTTGGCCTTTAGACGATGCTTCATTTGGTCAGGGTTTGAAGTGGATGACTGCCCTTTGCTCCATGTTTTACCTTTAGTGTGGCGCTTTAGTTTAGAACGAAATTTTCCCATTTTACGCAACGTTTTGAAAAATTAAACGATTTAAAATTGTTTCAAGATTTGAGAAAACAAAAACACGTGTCGGTGATGCACTGTGCTGATGTAAAAGAATTTATACAGTGAAGAATGTCATACAAAACGGAATACAACTACATATTTTGCTGGCAAGGGTTACTGAAGCAAAATAAATTAAAGCAGAGGAAATGTGTTGAAAACCAATTGAAGTCACACGTTAATTTTGAAGATGATTAGCATTTGCTTGACTTTAAAATAAGTTTTTCTTTACATATATTACCACAAAAATTGAAAATAAAACTATTTAAAGGCTTTAGTCATTATTGGCATTACATTAGTACTTTTTGGAGTAGTAATACATTTTACTACGTTTTGTTTCTACTTCACGACTACTGTTGGAAACACATCACTGAACAGCTGTCATTTGTGTTTGTTTTGTATTCAGTTGGTGTTTTGCCATTCGTGATTAATGTTCGATTTTCTTATTATGATTGTATAAAAAGAGAAGTAAACAATTAATTTTGCGACAAAAAAAGTGATAATGAAAAAGAGGAAACACATGTTGTAATCATTTACAAAAATACTAAAGAAGACCAAACCTAAAAGATAATTGTGTGCAAGTTATTTAAAAGAAATATACATAAAGTTGAGCAGCAAAAAGAAAGTGATTGGAATTTTAAGTGGAAATTAGGTCAGAATAGTAGAAAAAGTGCAAAAAGTATATAAATAAAAGAACTACGTTTATTAAGTTTGACGTTAATGCCTTACGGTGCGCTGGAATTGTCTAAAAGAAGTAAAGCAGTAAAACCGCAAGGGAGTTGAATGACACAGCGCTGTCCACTGCAATTTGTATACAGTGGATAGCATTTTGTTTAGTTGGCGCATACGCACAGATACCAATAGGCGCTACCCAGTTCTTTGTTTTGTTGCCGGTCAAAACAAGCAGTTGACAGAGACAGCATAGAAGTACAACATGGAATATTTACAGGAATTTGCAAACAATTTGCTGGATTATCTATGTAAGTTGCCTATTTTATATATGTAAGAAGCTTATTTATTAAACAAAGTTCCTTTGCATATATGTGTGCATCCAAATTTACGCTTTAGCCACCTACATTGATTTGGACTACTCGCTATGGCTTTACCGGCTGCTTTGGCCACTAATTGTAACATTCCTACTTCCAATGGTCTTCGTGGCACTAATTTACATATCATTTGTGATGCTATTCATTTACAAATTGCACAGGTAAGATTATTGTTTTATATTTGCCATAGCTGGTATAATATGATAGGGAGTAGTAGCATTTTGCTCGTGCAATTCAAGCATATTTAACGTGGTTATTGGACTTGTGTGCAATTATTGCAAAATTGTTATGTAAAAATATTAAACGTGTACTTTTAATGTCAAATTATTTCCGTGCTTTTTATAAATCAGTGAGCATTATATTGATTGAACATACTTCTATATAATTAGATTTGTTTTGTTGTAACAACAAAATCTGTGAACAAATACTTAATGAAATACGAGTTTGGTAAATTTAAAATTTTTTTGTGGAACAATCAGGAAGTGAATCATTTGTGCTTTTTGGTCTAGCACCAAACATTTTTCGGAAAAAGTTGTGAAACAACACAAAGTAAATATTATTTATTACCCAAAAATTTAAGTTTAGTTAGACATTTGGTTAGCGCAAATTAACCTCATTAAATTATGTGCCTACATACATACATAGCTATGCATGATTGCTTTAATTTTTTATGCATATTCATATAAGTATATCTCAACAAGTGGACATTAAACAATGCTTAGAGCGTTTATATTTCTTTATCGCTCTTTGTTTTTTTTTTTTTGTTTTACAGTGATACTAAATATAATATTATATGTTGAACTTTTAGCGCATGTCGTTTTAAATTCCATTTTAATAGCTGCTTGAAAATGGAATTTGATTATTCATTAAGTGTACATATTCATGTGTGTACCGGTTGTCGGCTTATAATTTGTATTTTACTATGTCATTGTAAGGGTGATTTGTACAACACCTGTGTTTAAACATTTCTGGCTGATGAGTGAAATTTTGGCAGCTCGAAGAGGCGAAAGCCAAATAAAATCTTGTAAGCTTGACTGCTACAGATTTGTAAAATCATAATTATGCCAGTGCTACTTTTAAATGTCATAAAGATAATTTTTATTTTTTACTATTTACAGACATTAATATTTGTATTATGTTATTAACCTGTCTTACAGGTTAGTTAAATATCACAATTTCCGGTCAAGGCCGATTTGTAATCTCGTAGTGCCCGCACGTACATACATATGTATCTCTCACACAAATGCATATGTATATACATACATACATATGTGCATTTGTGTAAGCTTGCAAAATTGCTATAAAATATAGAATTGTAATTTTTTGCTCAAGTGCTCGCTCAGCTTAAGTTTTTATTGCGTTTACAGGCAACTTGTTGAAAGCCGTCAAATGTAAACAAATCGTTTATTTTTTGCTTCTATTTAAAACTAAAATATGCAATTATTTTGTAATAGCACAAATATTGATTTGCATATCACAACATACAAACATTAATTTTTTATTTCAAAATATTCTAATGCAATATATTTTTGAAGTATTTCGTGAAACAGTTTTACTTTATATGTAGAGTTATGCTGAATTTCTTTAGTCCATTCCATTACTACCATGTGGCCTTCAATGCGGTCACACAAATTCAAGTCGTTATTTGTATACGAAAATAGATTTGCTTAAAAAAAAATATATATATTTTAATGGTTTGCTGCACTTTGCTTCCATACGTACTTCGAGACACATGTGCATATGCAAACATTTTCTACTTCTTAAAAATCATGCATATAAAATAGCGTTTAACTAACTTCAATAATGCGAAGATGAATTTGGCCCAACTTATGGCTGGTATATAGTACATCTATAATTACATACACATATATAAATATGTATACTCACATATAATTTTTAAGCCTAGTAAATAGAAATCGTAGTGCTTTAATTATAATAATGAGTATAATTGTTGTTGAAACTAGTTGTGAGGGGCTAAAATAAGCTTTATTTGCTTCAACCATATTTCATATTATACAATAACTTTTCAAAGTCAATGTAACATATCTTTGCATAATATTTCTAATATTTTTCTATTTATTAACGGTTTCAGTAGATATGTCAATACTCGATTACTCATCAATCTTTTGTTAGCCATCGCTTTCCTTATCTCTAGAATTTTTTATACGTCAACTATGTAAATGCAAATAAAGCTAAAAATACAGTGCATTGTGAAGCAAAAATCAAAGCGACCGTTTCCATGACAGTCGGCTCTACATAACCGAAACGCACCCGGTTTTTTATCTGGCTAAGAACTGTGAACTTAACAGCATTCTTCAAAATTTTTTCAGGCATGTTTTTTGCCGCTACAACAACAAAAAGCAAAGCGATGTAATGTGATGATGTGATCGTTTCTGCTATCTCAATCCAATCACTGTTTGTTGGTAGAATGTTAACACATGCCGATTCCCGTAACGTAGACTCGACTGTTGTGGAAACAAATACAATTTGCAGTAAACTTGGGTAGCGTGAAAGCTTTGGTAATTTATTCGAAAAATGTTTACGTCAAAGTTGCTTGCTAATATTTTTCTAATCTTTACTAACATTATCGGCTTAGGTTTCACTATGCATCCAGCCTTAGTTGCTAATTGACATGTGTTGTATATAAGTATAATATATGTGTGTGTATATGTAGATATAAGCATTTGCGTTCGATAATGTATTTTCAACGCAATAATTCACATTTTTTATCAGTTGCGTCGTTTTTATTAAGTGACGCTGGAAATATTTTTATTGCTATAATTTTGCAACAAATATTGTCGACATCTGTCGATGCTTTGTGTTGTAGATTTTGTTAAATCAAAGTATGAAATTATAAACTAATAACTATCACATTAACTTTTCTGCAATTGTGATTTATGATATAATAATTTAATTTGTAAAAAAGGAAGCTGATTAAAATATTCCATAAGTATGAATGGGTGTGTGTTGCCGTTGAAAAATTATTACTTTAATACGATTTCGCAGAATTCCTCCTTTCATGTTGCTACTAAAATATTTTGCGACAATCTTTAAGTCTAAAACGTAATATAAGAAATTTTAGATAAGGGAATAGTATTATATGACGGGTTCGAAATTTTTTTTTGAAAAAGTACAAGTATTTGATTTTCTTCTCTAATACCTCTCATAACCTCAAATTAATATGCTAATTTCCTAATTTTCATTCATACTTTTTCAGGGAGGTGATCATGCGCGCCGTACGCACCGATCGCAAATTCTGGGAATTCGGTCGAAAATTGGTCGCCGCATTGTGGGATGCACATGCGCGCATTTATCACGGCTACGAGGTGATCGGCATGGAAAATATACCAGAAACTGGACCAGCATTGATTGTTTACTATCATGGCGCGATACCCATTGATATGTATTACTTAAATTCACGCATAATATTGCAAAAGGATCGGCTAATATACACAATTGGCGATCGTTTCCTATTCAAATTGCCCGGTTGGGGCACAATATCCGAAGCATTCCATATTAGTCCCGGTACGGTGCAATCGTGTGTTGGCATACTAAAGGAGGGCAACATGTTGGCCATATCGCCAGGTGGCGTCTACGAGGCACAATTCGGCGATCATTATTACGAGCTGTTGTGGCGCAATCGTGTCGGTTTTGCGAAGGTCGCATTGGAAGCAAAGGTGCCGATAATTCCATGTTTTACACAAAATTTGCGTGAAGGTTTTCGTCAATTGGGTATTTTTCGCAATTTCTTTATGAAACTCTACAATGCGGTGCGCATACCAGTCTATCCGATCTATGGTGGATTTCCGGTGAAGTTTCGCACATTTATCGGTCGACCGTTAGAGTATGATGGCACGCTCACGCCGGAAGAATTGCAATTGAAGGTGTGTGTTTTCGTATAACATAATTCGATAAAATTTTATTTTATTATAAAATAATTTTCGATAAAATTTTTTTTTTTATAACATAATTTTCGATAAAAATATTTTTATTATAAAATAATATTCGATAAAAATATTTTTATTATAAAATAATTTTCGATAAAATTTTTTTTGTTATAAAATAATTTTCGATCAAAATATTTGTTTTTTTAACTTTAGGTGGCAGCCGCTTTGGAGGAGTTGATAAATAAGAACCAACGCATACCCGGCAGCATATTTCACGCGTTGCTCGATCGCTTTCCACCGTTTCGTAGTAAACGAAAAGTCTAAAAACAAAATTTTGTTTTATTTATTAATTAATGTGCTTAGTGTAAAGGTGTGCGCCCGTATCAGTAACTGTTTACACTGTTTACAGAAAATCTCCATATACTCTCTTGTGTTATTGAAGTTTTTCTTTTATTTCTTTTGAGGGGAGGGAAACGCAAAGACTATTCGCTATCTATAGAAATAATTTTATTGCGCGTATTTTTGACAACTTTGCGTAGAAAAAAAGAAAAAAAATAAAAAAATAAATAATTAAACAAAGTATATAATAAATAATTATAAGTAATTGAACAAAAGGATTATAAAACGAAAACTGCATCTATAAAAATTATTATTTATTACATACTAGTGTATCACTAATCCATCTACAGACGCGCCAATTAAAGTTCAGCTTTCCATATTTCCATAAATAGCCATAAGTGTACTTAATAAAGCAGAACAATTTTCTATTAATTTATTATTAATAAACTCTAGTTAATTTTAGTATGACCAGGGGGTTAGGGGTTTTTTATTTATACATATTTGCATGTAAATGTTTTCAGTGAAATTATCAAGCGCTAGAGCGCGTACCATAAAAATAATCTGTTTCAAATAAGTTATAGTTTATGTAAACATATTTTTTTTACAAATATATCAAAGAATGACAATTAAATTGTATAGCTTAATATTAATTTAAGATTGTTTAACTATTTTACTTACATACATACATACATACACACATATATGTATTAATTCAACGGTATTGACATTGTTGTCTCAGTAAATGCTTAGCGAAACGAAAATATGTATTGTATTGAAAGAAAAAAATAAATAAATTATCTTAATTTATTGTGTATTAAATGGCGTGTGGAAAATAAAAGTATATCATAAAAAAAAACATATAAAATTGTTTCTTATTATTTATTATAGATATCTTACGAAAAATTAGGCAATGAGAGCAGTAATCAGGCTCTCATTTGTACTTTCTCTCTCTCTCTTGTTTTCGAAATTGATGTTCGAGATCGAAAATGCTGTTTAAAATTACAATTACATCACATTTAGGCTATCAGGTACACGCCCTTAACGAATTTGGAAAGGCGATGGCCGTCGGAAACTCAAAACAATGGGAGAAACGGTGTTTGCAACACCCAGAAGTACGCGTCGGATACCCTATAATGTACATATATGTATATATAATATATATATATTAATGATTGGTGTGTATATACGAGAACCAGTCCCTCAGTTTTTAAGACATTGATCTGAAATTTTGCGCACATCCTTTTCTCCTCAAATAGCTGATATTTGTCGGAATGGCCGATATCGGACCATTATAGCATAAAGCTGCCATACAAACTGAACGATCACAATCAAATTCTGGTGAAGAAAAGTAAAAGTTGTTTACAAGATATCTCCACGATATTTGGCTTGGGTTACTGTCCAAGATAACGGTACAATCTAACGGATGAATTGTCCGGATCAAATCACTACAGCATATAGCTGCCATACAAAGATCTTTTTAAACCCCTATATACTACAACAAAGTCATCTGTTAAGGTTTGTATTATAGTTTTGATGCAACCGAAGTTGACGTTTTTTTAGGTTAGGTTGGTTCAAGTTCGTCGATAACAATTGCTAATTAATGCCAAGAATTAAAAATCTTAAAAATCAAAGTCATATCAATTTTAAGCATTTCTATGTTTTAATTGATTTATTTCGAATTAAAATTATACACTTTTTGGCCTTAGTTTTTTTAATCTCTAATTCTTTTTGCAAGTTGCGCACAACACAATTTTTGGAAATATTAAGAAAATCGGCAGATTATGATTTTTTAGTACGAGATATCAACACTACGAAATGACTTTTGATCGATCTTCGATTCACACTGAACAATAAAAACGTACATAATACATACACACATATATATATGTACGTTTGCATGCATATATGTATATTGTACAATTTTTCTATATGAAATAAGTTATATAAATATTAATTTTAGTATTGCTCCGACATAATAAGTACTACTAGCGAAGTCCAACCCGTAAACGGATAGCAGCCTTTGCCCTGCCCTGTGGTGTCGTCATACTGCTCCCACAGATAGCCGGTTCTTTGGTATTCTCTGAATATGTTGCCTACAACATTTTCACGCAATTCGTTGTAGATTTCACGCGCAAGTGTGGCATACGGACCCTCAACGGTGCCGTAGTGATGCAATGCCCTAATTGCTAGATAATTGATATTTATCCAGATGGGACCACGCCAATATGGCGGATCATGCTCCGTATTGCGTTTCATATACAATGGTGCGCTCTTGGCTAATGAACGCAGACCATAATTGGTCCATAACATATTCGGGTCGCGTAAATCGCGCAGCAATTTGCCCAGATAAACGGAATCGTGGTCGAGTATTTGCAGCAGGAATGGAAATAGATTCACATAACCATATGTGGTGTCGACAAATTGACGTTCCGGCTGCTTCATAGTGACGCGCACCATTTCCAATTGTTGTTGCTGATATTTTTTTAGATTTTGCTTAGTCACTTGTGGACGCTTAAGCATGACGGCGTCTGTGTGTAGACCCCAATCGGCATAGGTCTCGGTAAAGGGACTTAAATGCTGTTCATTTAGCAATTGGTTGTCGGCAAGGAAGGTGGCGGTTTCATAATATTTAATACTATCTTTACCGAGTATGTCGGATAGGTCGCTCATTACTCTCGACGCAAGCGCGATCCAGCAGCGCAGATCGACGTGCCGCTCATAGTTGGTGGGATGTGAGGCACGCGGGTAATCGTCTAAGCCCGATGTAAGCGTTTTCGGGTTCAATTCAGTCTCACTGGACGCATTACGTCCGCGCCAGTAGTAAGTGCCGAATACATCGCCACGCTGCGTGGTATTATACCAAGCGAACCAAGTTTGCAGACGTGGGTAGAGTCGCTCCAACACGTCGAGACGCCCTTTTATCGAAAGTTCCTTCTTATGATGTGTGAGTATTTTGTCCAGTGTGAGGAAAAATGTGGGTGGATTGGCGTTGGTGTTATGTTGCACGACGAATTCTTCCGGTACTTTCGCCAGCGCCTCGACGCCTAAGATTTGTTCTCTTGGTATCCAGCCTTCTATGTTCAGCAAATCGAACCAGTGACACATGATATCCAGCGCAATATCCAAGTCCCATGAGGATATAACAAGTATTTGAAAACCTTCATCCCACAGGAAACCACGTGGAAAGAAGGAACGTGACGGAACGGAGGTGTAGAGCGGTGCTTTCCAGTATGGCACTGGTTTCTTCGTATAAACTGATTTCACTTTACTGGAGCCATAAAAGTAACCAATACCACCAATCAAGTTGCTAACGGCATATTTGGCAAATTTGATTTCATTGGCTGAATAACCTTTGGCTATCAAATGGAATGTGTCCTCAAAACGCTTATCGAACTCGGACAATTTCTCTTGCAAGTCATTTGTAAACGCCCTGCCTGTGGGCGGCTTAGACACATTCTCATTCGAAAAGCCTGAAGTGGACTGGTATATAATATCCATGGTGAAATCCACTTCGGCGGTGATTTGTATGGCAATAAAATTGGGATCAGCTGCAACCACGCCATTTTGTGAGATCATTTCACCTGGTAAACCGACAAAGCGATTGTCGCGCTTATCCGTAAATACACGAAAGTGTGAAAAAACGGTTTCCTTTAATTTGCTAAGCGACGGTGCCACTGTGCTCAAATAGGATTTGTGCAATATCCTGCCTTTAATTGGTTGAAAGCGCAACTAAAAGTAAAATTTCAAAAACTTTTAAACAATAAAATTTTATTAATACTAATTGCTAAACACACCTTAAATTCGCCGAGGCCAAGTGTCTCGCCATAGACACCTGCCTCGGGACTGTTGTCATTTGAGAGATATCTAATATGACCATTTGTGCGCTCATCGAGCGCCACATACCAAATTAGAGAAATCGAGTGATCCCATGTTTTAGTTACATTTCGCACAGATACACGCGCCGTCCAATCGCCACCTAATTTTCTACCACCAGTATACTTTATAAATGACGTTTTCAACTCGAATGGCAGATCGTGTATTTCTTGCACACCAAATGTACGTCCATCATGCTGTGTCCAACCGTATTTGTCGAGATTGTCACCGATTTCACACCAGTGACGTATGCCTCTACCACCGTGCCCCAAATTGGACGGTGTATACCACATCAAACCCATTACTAGTGAGTGTGGATCGCGTGTTTTCATACCGAAATATGTAAGCGGCCTATATGAGCCCCAATAGCGTTCCGGATCGTCCAGTCCTGAGCGTGTCACCATTTTTTCATTATCAAATGGTGTGTTTACACGAGTTTCCAGGTAACCTAAGTAGCCAAAATACGACGCTACACCCAAACAAACAAAACCGATCAGTGTCTTCCATTTATCCAACATCAATTTGGGCCACATCGAGAAACTGCTACGTTTTTTATGTACTCCCTTATTTTTATTCGCACCAGAGGTTGACGAAGAAATCGTACTAGAACTTGAGCCGCTATTGCCGCCACTGCTATGTGTGAAGTGAGCATCGTTCTTTTTGTGTTTCCCTGAACTCTTACTGCCTTTGTTGTTGTGGCTATTATTGTTAGTAGGTGTTTGGGGATTGCTGCCGGTAGCTGTATTATTTGCGTTATTACCATTGCTTGTGTTTGTGCCCTCACCGGCTGTGTTAACATTGCGTCGTTGCCTCGCCATTGTGCAAATCGATTAGCCAATCCGTACGTTTACGTGTCCGTTTACTTATCTCTATTTGAACGCTGCTTGCACTAAATTCATTTGTGTTAATTATTATCGCAATTAACGTAAAATTAGTTGTGGAGTTTTAGTTCAGCAAACTCGAATTGCTTATCTTCCCAAAGCACAATTACTCATTTAAACATAATTTTATATATTTTCTAAATTTCAGCTGTTAAATGTCAAAAACACACTATTGTTTTTTACAAACTAATTCTAGAGAACATGTATTTTACACTCTCTGCTAATTCCTGACATACGTTCTCTGCTAATTCAATAGTACCAGTGTTGAGCAATGTTCTTTAATTTGGGTGAAATTAATTTTTGCTGCGAGAAAGAAATTTTTTTCATTTAGCTAAGACATCAACACTCTAATTTTATTTCTGTTAGCAGCTGCAGATGTCTCCAAAGTATTGAGAAATTCACCAAATACGTTCTTAGTTTTATTTGAAACGTTCAACATGTGTGTTTGACTCTATTTCATAAATATTGCTGTAGTTGAGTTGGCTTAGCGCAGCTTCATGTAATTAGAAATCTACGGTTCGACACCCAAGGCGGGCAAGTTTTCAAATTCTGACAAACATAGTTTTCAAATCCCTCTTCCAATAAACGCCACACGTTATTTGCTACAACCTTTGCATTTTTAACGTGCCATGGAAGTTGCAGGGAGATAAAATTCTCGGAAGGAAGCCAAGTGATCGCGATTAATTCAATTAGATACTTGGTGCCACAAGATGAGAAACACTTTTTTTGTTGCTATCTTTCGCTTGGAACTTGATTATGATCGGCCAGTTTGTATGGCAGCTATAAGCTATAGTGGTACGATCTGAAGCATTTGTTTGGAGATTATATTTCGTCAAATAAAAAACGTTTTTCATACAAGAGTTTCTATGACAGCTATATGCATAAATGATCCGATCTGATTAATTTGTTCGAAAACTGTTCAGTTGTCTTGGACAAGAATCCATGCCAGATTTCGTGAAGAAATCTCTTTAAAAAAAATTATTTTTCATACAAAAACTCAATTTTGATCGTTCAGTTTGTATGACTTTGAGACTAGTTCGCGTATATACAGACAGGCGTCCACATCGTCACGCTCATCATGTTTATATATTTTTTATAAGGTCTCCGACGT